CACTACTGCCCAGGGTCCAATGGCCTCAGCCTCCTCACAGAGGTCCAATACCAAGTGTCTTCACTAGGGCTTGGGAATGGGTAGGTCTGGAGGAGGGAAGTCCACATAGCACAGCTTGTAATGGTAAGTTGTTCAAAAATGAATAAAGCCCCAAGAGAGATGCATTTGTTTATGCTGAGATGAGTCCTGGGGGCAGGAACATGCCCAGTGAAAATGAGCTTGTCAACAAGCAGGAAATCAGATAAGCCAGGTGGGTAAAACTGACCACCCAGGGAGAGAGTGAGCTGGCGGGAGACAGCCATCTGGGAAGTAGGCCCTCAGCTGTGAGATGCCAGCCCCAGGCGGTGAGCACAGAGCCACATCTGCCAGATGTGTCTGGACTTTCTTGGGCCACACTCTGCAGCTCAGGGTTGGGAGCAGAGAAGGAAGACAGCGATTGTCCGAAGAGACATTACCAAGGGCCTGGTGCACTCTAAAATGCCAAGTGCTCTACAGTGCCACATACTGAGTCATGTCGTGTGTGTCTGTATATGTCTGTGTGTGTGTGTCTGTATATGTGTCTGTGTGGTGTGTGTCTGTGTCTGTGTGTGTGTCTGTGTGTGTCTGCGTGTGCCTGTGTGTGTGTGTGCGTGTCTGTATATGTCTGTGTCTGTGTGTGTGTCTGTGTCTGTGTCTGTGTGTGTATGTGTCTGTGATGTGTGTGTCTGTGTGTGTGCCTGTGTGTCTGCGTGTGCCTCTGTGTGTCTGCGTGTGTCTGCATGTGCCTGTGTGTGTGTGCCTGTGTGTGTCTGTGTCTGTGTGTGTCTGTGTGTGTCTGTGTGTGTCTGTGTGTGTGCCTGTGTGTGTCTGTGTGTGTGCCTGTGTGTGCCTGTGTGTGTCTGTGTGTGTGCCTGTGTGTCTGTATCTGTGTCTGTGTGTGTGTCTATGTGTGTGTGTCTCTGTGTGTGTGCCTGTGTCTGCGTGTGCCTGTGTGTGTCTGTGTGTGCCTGTGTATGTGTCTGTGTGTGTGTCTGTATCTGTGTGTGTCTGTGTGTGTGTCTGTGTCTGTGTGTCTGTGTGTGTGTCTGTATCTGTGTCTGTGTGTGTGTCTGTGTGTGTGTGTGTGTGTCTGTGTGTGTGTCTGTGTCTGTGTGTGTCTGTCTGTGTGTCTGTGTGTAAGAGAGACAGGGGGAATTGGGGTTTCGCTCCATCACCCAAGCTGGAGTGCAGTGGTGTGATCATGACTCAGTGCAACCTCAAACTCCTGGACACAAGCCATCCTCCTGCCTTGGCCTCCAAAAGTGCTGGGATTACAGGCAGGAGTCACCGCACCTTGCCAGGATGTGCGTTTAATACAGCTGACCTTGGATTCCTGGTTGGATAGGAAAGTCCAGAAGGAAGTCAGAGAAAAACAAAGGGGAAAAGTAGGTCTTGTGAGAGCAAGGAGAGACAGGGATTTTGGAGGGGATGTCCCAGGGGCTTCTGAAGCTCAGCATATTCTTACCTAGATTCTCCTCCCTAACTGAAAACAAACTGCTCCTCCTCTCAGAACCAACTGCATCATTTTCAGGACCCAGTACAAAATGAAAATGCAGTGTCCTAGCTCAAAAGTCAGGACAAAAGTGCTGTTAAAGGTACTAAGATACAGAGCTTTTTCTTTCTTCCATGGTTTCTCTCTCAACCTATCCCAGTGTCTTTTATTTGCTATTTAACGATGCATTCCCTTGGGCACTGGGACACTAGCGGTGATTGTCCAGACCCTCAAAGGTGCCTGGAAGCCTCTCCACAGCTAAGCATGTGCACATGGCCCACCAGATGCAGGCTGCCTCTCCCATAAGTCACCAGACCCAGGCACCATGCCCCAGAGTGGCTAAAATGTTAAGCCAGACATTTGTCCTTCCCATGGGCCACCACCCCAGCCTAAAGCAGATGGGAGACCCTCCAGGGTGTTGCCAGGATGCATTAGCTATCCACATCAGTGGTGGGGGAGACTGGACCCCACCAAATCACCAAATGTGCCATGATGCTGCCAGCCCACATCGAGAAAGGCTGCCACCGGCCCTACCCCAGGATGCCCCACCTCAACCTACCCATGCCTGATCCAAGCCCCCACCAGAGATAAAGGGTGGCAGTAATCACTGGGCTGAGGGGCAGGTTGAGTGGGGATCCCACGACACTCAAATGCAGGATGGCCAAGAACTGTTTCACCCCGAGGAAAGGAGGGAGGTGGCAGGAGGTGGCATCACCTATGAGCTGAGGCCCCATGGTCCCATCAGACTTCACCTACAAAACACAAATTTAAGGACAAAATTGGCCTTAAGAAATTTTGATGGCCACCACAGAGCATTAACCCCCTAATCTAGAAGGGTCCTCCTCATACCCCTGCCAGTTCTGGGTCCTTCGGAGCACGGGGCCCTGTGCAACCACCCTGGTCGTACACCGATGAAACTGACACTGTTCTCACATCTACCTTCTCAGTAAGTGACAGCAGCTTCTACTCTGAATCCAACCTAGAGGCCTCCCTGGACTCCACTAAATGCCACAGGGTCTACTCGAGGCATCTCTGAAGTCGCTGCTCTGACCCCATTGCTCATCCTCCCCGCAAGACCCCTTGCCTCCCGCCTTTCCCCACCCAGCCACCTCCACTCCCTCAGGGATCTTGCCTTTTTTTCTTCTTCTTCTTTTGAGACGGAGTCCCGCTCTGTCACCCAGGCTGGAGTGCAGTAGCAGGATCTCAGCTCACTACAACCTCCGTCAGGGATTGTTCTAAAGCAATGTAGAGACCAGGTCACTGCTGTCCTCAAGAACTTTCATGGGCTCATCACTGCCACAGGAAAATAGGTCTAAACATCTTATAATGACATCCGAGACCTACCACTGTCTTGATATTTTCCAGCTTTACCCTCAAACTTGCTCTCTGCCTGGGTAGCCTTTATGCCAACATCACTATACTAACCGCCTGCTGTGATTTCACATCTACCCTACCAGCCACACGTGCCCCTGCCTCCGCCCTCACCTCAGTGAACCCCTCATTTAAGGCTCACCTTTTCCTCCCTGCCTTGGCAATCACTCATTCCTCTGCCTTCAGCTGTACCTGACGTGCCCCTCTTTTGATGCTATTTCACTCATTTATTTACTACATACTTACTAAGCACCTACTATATGCTAGACCCTGCTCTGGGCACTGGGATATGACTAGCAATGAAAATGGGGCTGGGCACGGTGGCTTATGCCTGTAATCCTAACACTTTGGGAGGCTGAGGTGGGTGGATCACCTGAGATCAGGAGTTCAAGACCAGCCTGGCCAACATGGTGAAACCCTGTCTCTACTACAAATACAAAAATTAGCCAGGCGTGGTGGCGGGTGCCTGTAGTCCCAGCTACTCAGGAGGCTGAGGCAGGAGAATCCCTTGAACCCAGGGAATGGAGGTTGCAGTGAGCCGAGATCACACCACTGCACTCCAGCCTGGGTCACAGAGCACGACTACATCTCACACGAAGGAAGGAAGGGAGGGAGGGAGGGGAGGGGAGGGGAGGGGAGGGGAGGGAGGAAGGGAGGGAGGGAAAGAAAGAGAAAGAGAGGAAGACAGCGAGGGAGGAAGGTAAGGAGGGAGGGAAGGAAGGAAGGAGAGAAAGAGGAAGGAAGGGAGAGAGAGAAAGGAAGGAAGGAAGGAGAGAGAAACAGGAAGAGAGGAAGGAAGGAAGGAAGAAGAGAGAAACAGGAAGAGAGGAAGGAAGGAAGGAGAGAGAAACAGGAAGAGAGGAAGGAAGGAAGGAAGCAAGGAAGGAAGGAGGGAGGGAAATGGGCAAAATTCCTTCCTCCAGGAGCTCACATTCTAGTTGGGAGGGAGGACAAGAAGCCAAATAAGTAAGTAAAATATATTGTGAGTGACATGAGCTATAGAGAAAAGTAAAGCAGAAAGGAGCAGGGAGTCTGGGGGTAGGTGTTCAATTTTAAGTGGAGAGATGAGGCAAGATGTCACCAAAGCGACTTCCTTCTGAGCAAAGACCTGACGCAAGTGGAGGAGCAAACCATGAGTTATCAGTGCCAGAAGATTGTTCTGGGCAGAAGCAGCAGCAGAAGCAGCAGGTGCAGAGGCCTTAGGTGGAACTGTGCCTGGGGTGTGGAAGGAATAGAGAGAAGGGCAGTGAGGATGGAGCTAAAAGAGATTAGAGGCGAGGGCTGGGCGCAGTGGCTCACACCTGTAATCCCAGCACTTTGGGAGGCCGAGGCGGGTGAATCACAAGGTCAGGAGATCGAGACCATCCTGGCTAACACGGTGAAACCCCGTCTCTACTAAAAATACAAAAAATTAGCCAGGTGTTGTGGCGGGCGCCTGTAGTCCCAGCTTCTAGGGAGGCTGAGGCAGGAGAATGGCGTGAACCCGGGAGGCGGAGCTTGCAGTGAGCCGAGATCGTGCCACTGCACTCCAGCCTGGGCGACAGAGCCAGACTCCGTCTCAAAAAAAAAAAAAAAAAAAAAAAAAAAAGCGAGTGAGGACAGAGGTGCCAGGAGATCCAAGTCCCTCAGGGCCCTGTAGACCCAGGAAAAGGACCTTGAATTGTACTCTGAGTAATGTGGGGAAATTGGAGGTTTTTAATCAAAAGGATCAAAAAACTATGATGTGTTTCTATGTCTATCCCAAGTACCCTGTCATTTCTGGGGCCTGGGAGGGTTTCCTAAACCAAAAAAAAAAAAAAAAAAAAAAAAAAAACGGTGAGGACAGAGATTATGAGGATCCAAGTCCTCAGGGCCCTGTAGACCAGGAAAAGGACCTTGAATTGTACTCTGAGTAATGTGGGGAAATTGGAGGGTTTTAATCAAAAAGGATCAAAAAACTATGATGTGTTTCTATGTCTATCCCCAAGTACCCTGTGCATTTCTGGGGCCTGGGAGGGTTTCCTAAACCTCTGCCTGGCTCACAGGCCTGACGCATAGTAGGTGATCAATGGGCGCTTATGGGTGTTTGTTGAATCAACAGGTGAGTAACCTCAAGACCGGGGGTGTGTGTCTTCCACAGGTTGGCCAGCTGTGGTCTCACAGCTCAGGACTGCAAGGACCTGGCCTCTGGGCTGAGAGGCAACCAGAACCTGACCGTGCTGGACCTGAGCTTCAATGTGCTCACGGATGCTGGAGCCCGACACCTTTGCCAGAGACTGAGTTGGACGTGCTGCATGCTACAGCGACTGCGGTAATTGTTCTTGGTGGGCAGGGGGAGGTAGAGGGAACCACCTGCCACCATGAGGCAGGTGGAGGGTAAGGGCAGAGAGAAGGTGAGACCTGCTTTGTGGGAGTGGGAGGAGCCTGCAGGATCTCAGCCAGGGAGTAGAGGCTCAGGAGGAAGCTCATCCACCTTTGGATGGAGGGAGCGGGCCTCCAGTCTCCAAACACGGCAAGAGAAGCCAAGTTGAGTCAAGGGGCATGAATGCAAGGTGGGGACAGGGGGCAGAATTTGTGGCCATTTTCACAGACTGCCACAGAGGAGGATGATAATAGTGCCCACTACGTAGAGCTATGAGGATTGCAGCAGTGTTTTCTATCCCTCTCCTGCTCCCACCAGCTGTGATCTGTCCAGTAACAGGTCCTCTTACTTGGCATGGGGTTCTGCCATGGAGAGCTGAAATCACTGGTGTCCACTGAATTCGATTTTCTGTCTCATCCGAGGGGACAGAGCCATCCCCCGCTACCATGTAGAAACGAGTCCGGGTGCAGTGGCTCAGGCCTGTCATCCCAGCACTTTGGGAGGTCGAGGCAGGCGGATCACTTGAGGTCAGGAGTTCGAGACCAGCCTGGCCAACATGGTGAAACCCCGTCTCTACTAAAAATACAAAAACTAGCCAGGCGTGATGGTGGGAACCTGTAATCCCAGCTACTCCAGGAGCCTGAGGCAGGAGAATCACGTGAACACAGAAGGTGGGCATTGCAGTGAGCTGAAATCACATCATTACACTCCAGCCTAGGCGACAGAGCGAGACTTCTTCTCAAAAAATAAAAGAAAAAAGAAACAAGAGTGAATAGTTCCCTCTTCTGGTCCTGCTGGGCCTCCTCCCTCCGTGTACAAAGTTACACATACCCCTCTGTACACCCGCTCAGGGGCTGCCTTCCAGGTCTTCTTTTGTCTGCCCAAGCCCTGAAAGATCCTTGTTTATACCTTGCGAGATCCTTGTTCACACATCACACGTCCCTTCCTTCTTCCCAAGGCCAAACCTCTCCCTTTCCCAGGGCCTCTGCCTGCTTCCCCACTCAGTAACCCTGATCAGAGTTGATGGGAAGGGGAGACAACGCGGATCCCCTCCTAACATCAGGGGTCAGTGATCCCTGGTCGGCTAGGAACTCGGTAACACTTGTAAGATTGAATCCTCGCTACATCTACAGAAGACAAGATTGGGTCTCAGAGAGGTTCATTATTTTCCCAAGGCCACGTAGCCAGGAAGTAACTGCACCAGGATTTGAAGCCAGGTCTGACGTCAAAGCCTGGTTTTCCATTTTCCCAGTCCCCTCTCTTAGCAAAGGCCCTGTAACACTTTGTGACATTTACAAGCTTGGACTGCAGCTAGGTCTCAGCAGACCCAGCTGGGACAGCCAATAGTTCTAGAAGCAGGGCTGAGACCCCAAGAGCAGAGGATCCCCAGACAGGGGATCCCCCAGAGAGAGCCTACGTATATACAACATACAGCAGATACATAGCCTTTTTCTGGCATAAATGCTAGCACAGCACAAACTCTGCCCTGCACTTTGCTTTATCGGTTAAAATATATGCTAGAGACGGTCCCACATCAGTACATACAAAGTCACATCGTTCTTTTTAATCACAGCGTGGAATTTCACTACATGGACGTACCATCATTTTTGTCCATCGCCTGTTATGAGCAGCCAGCTTGTCTCCAGTGTTTGCTGTAAACAGTGCAGCAGTTACCATCCCCCTGTGTGTCCTGAGAACCAGCATATTATCTGTAGCTTAACTTTCAAAAAATAGAACTGCTGGGAAAAGGGTATGTTGCCAATTTTGCCCTCTAAAAAGGCCCTCCTGGCCGGCTGCGGTGGCTCACACCTGTAACCCCAGCACCTCGGGAGGCCTGGGACACAGAGCGAGACCTCATCTCAAAAAAACGAAAAAGGAAAGAGAAAACAGGCCCAGGTGTACAAGGGGGACATTGACTAAGTTACTCATCAATGTGGACAGAGTGAGAGGACAGGATCAGGTGAACCACACAGGATTGAGAAAGGGTGGGTGCCGGCATCCTGAGGGGTTCTGTGGCTGCAAGAGGAAACTGAAAATCTCAGGTTAGTTTGTATCTTCTCTGCTTGTCACCCCAGACCCTCAAAAGGCCACAGATGCTAGGAAGGAAGATCAGACCCTAGTTACCCTGAAGAGCGAGCCCTCAGGACAATGACCTGGGCTGCTGTGTATCTTTCCTGCAGGCTGGGCAGCTGTGGCCTCACATCTGGGTGCTGCCAGGACCTGGCCTCTGTGCTCAGCGCCAGCCCCTTCCTGATGGAGCTAGACCTGCAGCAGAACAACCTGGGCGACACTGGTGTGCGACTGCTGTGTGAGGGGCTCAGGCATCCTGCCTGCCAGCTCACACGCCTGGGGTAAGGCCCTGGAGGTCCCTTCTGGGCAGAGGGCAGGGAAGAGGGTTGTGGGGGTGTCGGATAGGGCATGGAAAAAGGACTGATAAATGCATAGTCAACCCAAGTTTCTTACCAGCTCTACAACTTACACCGTGTGACTTAGACAAGTCACCAAATTCTCTGGGACTCTGTGTCTTCATCTGTGGAATGGGAGTATCATACCCATCTCATGGATTGTAATGATTTAAAATGTGCATAAAAACAAGCCGGTAGCTCACGCCTGTAATCTCAGCACTCTGGGAGGTCAATGTGGGTGGATCACTTGAGGTCAGGAGTTCGAGACCAGCCTGGCCAACATGTTGAAACCCCGTCTCTACTAAAACTACAAAATTACCTGGGCATGGTGGTGTGCACCTATAACCCCAGCTACTTAGGGGGCTGAGGCAGGAGAATCACTTGAACCCGGGAGGCAAAGGTTGCAGTGAGCGGAGATTGCACCACTGCACTCCAGCCTGGGTGACAGAGCGAGACTCCATTTCAAAAAAACAAAATAGAGGCCCTACTAATCAAGGGGTACATGTTTATCAAGATTAAATGGGCCACAGTGAGCCTCATCTCCAAGCGACCTGATATCAGCCCCTGCCAAGTGCATCTCTGTAACGACTCACATTGCAAGGGCAAGAGAAGAACTTTATCTGGAAAGACAGCAGAAACAGCCTGCCCCTCCAGCCTTGCTCCTCCTCCTAGATGAGCCACCGATCCCCTCCCTGTGATTCCTGGCCCATGAACAGCAAGAACCCAGGCTCCCCTGGCCCCACAGCAGCCAGCCAAGAAACCCCGACCTGGATTCCACGAGGCCTGCAGCTCAGCTACGGGGGAGGCAGAGTCATCCACCTGGATTATACTAGGCAGGCTGGAGAGCTGTGGCACTGCTCAGCACAGCATGCGGGTAGCAACATGGCCCTGTCCTGGCACAGTGCACACTCCAGACCCCAGTGTGTGGTGAGGAGCCCAGGATAGGTCCTCAGTTCTAGATGAAGCCTTCATACTCCCCCTCTTCTAACTTCATATGAGCGCCCTCATTTTCCTCCTGGACTGTAGATGCCCTTAATATTGAAACCCACCAAAGCATCCTAGGTCAGCTGGCTCTGGGTGTTTAGCAGGGATGATGTGGTTAACAATGAGACCCAGGTTGGCTGGTCACGGTGGCTCAAGCTTGTAATCCCAACACTTTGGGAGGCCGAAGAGGGCCAATCACCTGAGGCCAGAAGTTCAAGACCAGCCTGGCCAACACGGTGAAATCACGTCTCTCCTAAAAATACAAAAAGTAGCCAGGCATGGTGGTGCACGCCTGTAATCCCAGCTACTCAGGAGGCTGAGGCAGGAGAATTGCTTGAATCCAGGAGGTGGAGGTTGCAATGAACTGAGATTGTGCCACTGCACTCCAGCCTGGGCCACAGAGTGAGATTTCATCTCAAAAAGAAAAAGGAAAGAGAAAACAGTTAGACCCAGGTGTACAAGTGGGACATTGAGTAAGTTACTCATCAATGTGGACAGAGTGAGGGAACAGGATCAGGTGAATCACACAGGATTGAGAAAGGGTGGGTGCCGGCATCCTGAGGGGTTCTGTGGCTGCAAGAGGAAACTGAAAATCTCTCAGGTTACTGCAAGCCAGGAAAGTTTGTATCTTCTCTGCTTGTCACCCCAGACCCTCAAAAGGCCACAGATGCTAGGAAGGAAGATCAGACCCTAGTTACCCTGAAGAGCAAACCCTCAGGACAGTGACCTGGGCTGCTGTGTATCTTTCCTGCAGGCTGGGCAGCTGTGGCCTCACATCTGGGTGCTGCCAGGACCTGGCCTCTGTGCTCAGCGCCAGCCCCTTCCTGATGGAGCTAGACCTGCAGCAGAACAACCTGGGCGACACTGGTGTGCGACTGCTGTGTGAGGGGCTCAGGCATCCTGCCTGCCAGCTCACACGCCTGGGGTAAGGCCCTGGAGGTCCCTTCTGGGCAGAGGGCAGGGAAGAGGGTTGTGGGGGTGTCGGATAGGGCATGGAAAAAGGACTGATAAATGCATAGTCAACCCAAGTTTCTTACCAGCTCTACAACTTACACCGTGTGACTTAGACAAGTCACCAAATTCTCTGGGACTCTGTGTCTTCATCTGTGGAATGGGAGTATCATACCCACCTCATGGGTTGTAATGAAATAAAATGTGTATAAAAACAAGGACAGGCAGGGCGTGGTGGCTCACGCCTGTAATCCCGGCACTTTGGGAGGCCAAGGCGGGTGGATCACTTGAGGTCAGGAGTTTGAGACCAGCCTGGCCAACATGGTGAAACCCCATCTCTACTAAAAATATAAAAATTAACTGGGCATGGTGGTGTGCACCTGTAACCCCCAGCTACTCCGGGGACTGAGGCAGGAAAATCACTTGAACCCGGGAGGCGGAGGTTGCAGTGAGCTTAGATCACAGCACTGCACTCTAGTCTGGGCAACAGAGTGAGACTCAGTCTCAAAATTTAATTAATTAACTAATCAATCAAATAAAAACAAGGACAGTGCTGGGAAGAGAGTCAGGCATGATCAAATGATAACTATTACTGAGGTTGCATGCTGTAAGGGACTCCCAGGTTCCCCTCACTCCAGGGCAGCAGTTTATTCATTCATTTACTCATTCATTCATTCACTGAGTGCCTCCTACATGTAAGCACCAGGCCAGGCCCTGGGGTACGATAGTGAGCAAACAGACATGGGTCCTGCCCTCCTGAAGCTTCCACTCTAGTGGGGAGGAGATGGACATTGGTCACCTGTAAATGCACAAGTCTGTATTTATGAGCTCTGTGGAGTGCTAAGAAAGGAAAGTACAGGGTATTATGAGAATGTAATATTGAGGGAGGATGGGATTTGATCAAAATCCCATTCTCAGGGAAGGCCAGGGAGGACTTCCCTGAGAAAGCAATGTCAGGCTGAGGTCTGAAGGAGGAATAGGGAGCCAGACCAAGTTGGGGAGAGTAGTCCAGGCCAAGGGATGATATGGGGAAAGGCCTGGAACAAAGAGGCACTTGAACCCTGGAGAGCTGAAGGACCCTGAGCAGCCGTATTGGAGTGAGCCCCCAGCCCTCATTTCCCATCCTGTAGGCCCCAGAGATTCTCACCCTTCCCCGAGGAGCCACCCCCACACTATCTCTGGGCCACTTCCACTCCCCTCCACCTCCTGGGAGCAAGCCCACAGGTGGCTTCTGTCTTGACATTTACCTGTGGCTCCTGCCAGGGGCCCTGCCATGTGCTCAGGGAGCAGACGGGGGCTCCAAACCCCCACATACAGAGCCTTCTCAGAGGGCGTCCGGGAAGCCTGGGCCTCGGGCCTTCCTCAGCCAGGCCTCCCAAACCTAGAGAAGTGGTCAAGGCAGAATAACGGAAATAAATAATCTACATTTGGGTTTTCCTGTAGCTGACACTGGCCATTTACAACCATGGGAACTCCATCCGAGGGGGCAGCACCTTTGCACCCCAGTCTGCTGCTCCCCACTGAGTATTTTTGGCTATCACTACCTCCCTTACGCCGAAGAGCCTCTCTCCAGAGCTTGGCCGTGGCAGGCAGATGTGGCTTCACGCCCCAGCTCAACACTTACCCGTCAAACCTGGGCTGCTTCCAAGGGGGTTTGCCCTCTAGAGTCCCGAGTAGGTGTCCACCTCCTTCCCTTCTGGAGCCAGGAGTTCGTTGAGAAGAATAACCTTCTACTTCAAGGGCTGCGCTCCTCCCCAGGGGCAGAACAGCTGTAACAGCAGCAGGGGAACGCGTGCAGATCCCTTTGCAGGAGGCAGGATCTTTTCACCTCCTCCTCCTCTGGGCCTCAGAACAGGCAGGGCAGGATTGATTCATCCTATGTGACAGATGGAGGACAGAGACCCAGAGAAGACAATCAGCATCCCACATCTGGCAGAAACCCCAGGTCACAAGGCCTGGGAGGACGGCAGAACCAGGACTCTCTCTTCCCAGCAAAACCTCCGACCACTGGGAAGAGAATCCCAGGACCCAGGCCTGGCAGCCCTGGCAGCCGGCTACAGAGACAGCTTCTGCCAGTGACAGCCACCTCACCCAAGGCCACGTCTCCTTCCTGGGGAGGCCCACATCCGATGACGGGCCAGTGTTGCAGTAGAAAGGCCCAGCCCCTCAACCCAACTCTTAAACAGCTCTAAAGGATCATCTCCCAGAGTCGGCTGAGGCCTCCATGGAGACTGCCTCACAGCCCATGTCTCCCCGATTCCCTCCCTTCCCTTGCCCTGGCATTGACCCAGGAACACACCCTAGTGAATCTCCTCACGGTACCCTCCTCCTCAGAGCCCGGCTCCCAGGGAACGCACCCTGTGCCGCTCCTCCAGAAGGTGGCAGGTCCTGGGATTCTGGGCCCTGGGGACCTGGGGACAACATGGGAGATCCCAGGAGGACCCGTCTCCCTTTGTGCTTTCAGGCTGGACCAGACGACTCTGAGCGATGAGATGAGGCAGGAGCTGAGGGCCCTGGAGCAGAAGAAGCCTCAGCTGCTCATCTTCAGCAGATGGTAAGGGGTGGCCCCAGAACTCCCTCTGGCTGATCCAGGCCAGGGCTGAGCAGGAGACAAGAAAAGAGCCTTGGGGTGAGAGACAAACACAGCCAGGGAGAAACCGAGGAACTGCAGCAGCCAGAGTGAGGTGCGCTTGTCAGTGCAAATAGAATCAACGACTCCCCCCCATTAAACTCTTACGTTAGACAAACAAGGAGAGGAGAACATGAAAAAGTAAGTGGGCTAAAAAATTAGCCAGGCGTGGTGGCGGGTGCCTGTGGTCCCAGCTACTCAGGAGGCTGAGGTATGAGAATCGCTTGAACCCGGGAGTGGAGGCTGCAGTGAGCCGAGATCGCGCCACTGCACTCCAGTCTGGGCGACAGAGCGAGACTGCATCTCAAAAAAAAAAAAAGCTGGGCATGGTGGCCACACCTGTAATCCCAGCACTTTGGGAGGCCAAGGCAGGTGGATCACAAGGTCAGGAAATCAAGACCAGCCTGACCAACATGGTGAAACCCTGTCTCTACTAAAAATACAAAATTTAGCTGGGTGTGGTGGTGGGCGCCTGTAATCCCAGCTGCTCAGGAGGCTGAGGCAGGAGAATCACTTGAACTCGGGAGGCGGAGGTTGCAGTGAGCCGAGATCACACCACTGCAGTCCAACCTTGGCAACAGAGCGAGACAACATCTCAAAAAGAAAAAAAAAAGAACAAGAAAAAGTCAGTGGGTGGGTGAGCCAGCGAATCCCCTGGACCCAGCACAGCATGGTACCAAATGGCCTCTAGTCCAGCAATCCTTTCGTGAAGAACAGAGAAGGTTTGGAACAATGAAAGCAACGACCACAAGAGGGAGACAAAGACAGAGAGAGAGCCTGTGCCCTGGGAAAAAGACCACCCTCGCCATCACCGTCACCCACTGCCCTCACCACCACCACCACACACACCCCTGACTTGAGGGGCAAGCCCCAGGGCCAGGGAAGTCCATCTTCCCTTCCCCGAGGAATCTACTGCAGCTCCCGCGTTCTCCCAGGTGGGCGCCTTTGCACCTGACCATGAAGGGCGTCCGTCCCCAGGCTCCTGGCTGCAGTGGCTCCCCTGAAATGGAAGGAAAAGAGCTCCTAGGTTTAAGAGGAGTCATTCATTCATAGAACAAACATTCCCTGCAGACTCACTATGTGTCAGGCACTATTTTGGGATGTGAGGACACAGCAGTGAATAAGAAAGACACGGCCCAACCTCCAGGAGCTTAGTCCAGCAGGGAGACAGGCACGGGTGATCCCACAAGTGTCTGCGCAAATGCACCTGCGGTCGGTGCGTGGGCCTGTTTGACCTGGTCAAGAGGAGCTGGGCTGAGCTCTGAAAGACAGGACAGGTTGGCTGGGCCTAGGAAGGGGTGGAGTCCAGGCAGAAGTAGAGGCTCTGAGAGAGAAAAAGAGTTTAGCCCCCTGGAGGAATGGGAGGCCAGGCGTCAGGAGCAGCTACTCAAAGTGTGGTCCGTGGACCAGCAGCGTCGGCATCACCCTTACCGGGAGCTCGATAGAACTGCAAATTCTCAGGCCCCACTCCAGACCCGCTGAACCAGAATCTCCGGGGTGGGGCCCAGGAATCTGTGTGGTATTTGAGACAGAGTCTCACTCTGTCACCCAGGCTGGAGTGCAATGGCATGATCTCGGCTCACTGCAACCTCTGCCTCCCAGGTTCAAGCCATTCTCCTGCCTCAGCCTCCAGAGTAGCTGGGACTACAGGCGCCCGCCACCACACCCAGCTAATTTTTGTATTTTTAGTAGAGACGGGGTTTCACCATGTTGGCCAGGCTGATCTCAAGTTCCTGACCCCTGTGATCTGCCCGCCTCAGCCTCCCAAAGTGCTGGGATTACAGGCGTGAGCCACCGCGCCCGGCCGAATCTGTGTCTTAACAAGCCCTCCAGATGATCGTTAAGCACACAGAGTTTGAGAACCAATGGCCTAGAGGTCAGTGAGCAAGGAAAAAGCGGCCCAGGTGACATCAGAGGGTGACAGAGGCCCCAGCAAGCCCTTTTGGACCATGTTAAAAACTTTCCATTTTCCCGCTGAAGCAATGAAGAGACGTGACAGGGCTGCAGCAGCCAAGTGGTGAGGCAGCTTTCTAAGATCGGCTGCTGTGTAGACAGTGGGCGGCAGAGGGACCCGAGCAGAAGCAGGGAGACCTTTCAGAGTCATCTGCCCACCTCAGCCTCCCAAAGTGCTGGGATTCCAGGCGTGAGCCACCACGTTTCAGCCACTACTGTTTCCAAGGATGCTGCAGTGGTGCGGGCCACGGAGGCCAGGGCCTGGGACTCAGGTGGAGGTCACGGAGCTGGAGAGAAGAGAATAGAAAGAAGAGCTATTTGGGAGGTGCCGTCAAGGTGATCGGCTCTTAGGGTGGGCGCGGAGGGAGTTGGGATGACACCCCACTTCTAGCCTGGGTACATGAGTGGATGGAGACTGCTCAGAGACAGGGACCACAGAAGAACCACAGGATTTAGTTCAAATTCGGATGGAGTTTTTGTGTGTGTTTTGCCTGAGACAGGGTCTGGATCTGTCACCCAGACTGGAGTGCAGTGGCACAGTCTCAGCTCACTGCAACCTCTGTCTCCTGGGCTCAAGTGATCTTCCCACTTCAGCCTTCCAAGGAGCTGGGATACAGGTGCATGCCACCATGCCCAGCTAATTTTTGTATTTTTGGCAGAGATGAGGTGGGGAGGTCTCACTGTGTTACCCAGGCTGGTCTCGAGCTCCTGAGCTCAAGCTATCCACCCATCCCGGCCTCCCCAAGTGCTGGGATTACAGACATGAGCCACTGCACCTGGCCCAAGGAGGAGTTGAATTTTTAGTGGGAATGTCATGTAGGCAGCCCTTGCTTCCTCCAGGATCTCAGGCAGAATGAACAATTCTTTGTCCAGGAAACCAACTGGGATGATCCCTAATGAGGGCCTGGGTACAGGGGAGACGACTAATAGCACGTCCTCACGCAAGCGGCAGAGACTCGGATCAGGTAGTTTGACGGGGCGAGGCTGGGGGCATCATGACAGGGTTGGGGGAGGCCAGCTGTGGGAGGTCATTCCCTCCATCCCTCTGCCACTGATGTGGGACGGGGCAGGTTCCCTACCTAAGAGGGTGCTACCCTGACGAGAGAGCTCCCACTCCTAGGAACTGGCTGGATTTCTGTTTCCCCCTCTCCGGCACCCACCGGTGGGTGCTGCCCCTCTCCAGAACGTTTACGGCATGTATGAAACCCTGAACCGGGGTCCAGCCTCCCATCCTTGACTGCCAAGGCCTGGGAATCACATCTCCATCTTGGCCCTGCCATCTTAAAAAAAAAAAAAAAAAACAGGGTCTCACTCCATTGCCCAGGCTGGAGTGCAGTGGCATGTTCACGGCTCACTGCAGCCTCAACCTCCCAAGCTCAAACAACACTCCCACCTCAGCCTCCTGAGTAGAACTGGGACTGCAGACGCTCACCACCGTGCCTGGCTGATATTTTTCTTTTTTTTATAGAAACCGAGTCTTCCCATGTTGCTCAGGCTGATTTCAAACTCCTGGACTGGAGCAATCCTCCTGCCAAGGCCTCCCAAAGTGCTGGGATTACAGGCAAGAGCCACGGTGCCTGGCCCCTTTCATCTTTTGAACCATGTTCCTCTCTCAACCTGCCCACCTGGGCATGCTGGGAAAAGTGGCACTTCTGTTCCAGTGGGGAAGGGGAGATGGGCAGAGGCTGGGCTGGAGGCACTGGAGTGGGGCTCCCCAGACAGCAGGCAGGCAGCCAGGGAGCAGGAGCGAAGCTGCAGAACACTCCCTGCCATGGTCCAGGCAGGCTGGCCTTGGGAAGGGCCCCTTATAGTATAACCATAGGGGCTGGGGGAGGCCAGGTGAGAGAATCTGGAGCTGACCGCTGCCTTGCTGTTTCAGAGGGAAGCTCCCCAGAGGTAGAACAGTTGGAACCCTTGTGCCTGCCTTCACCTGCCTCTCTAGGGGACCAGGATACGCCTTTGGGGACTGATGATGACTTCTGGGGCCCCATGGGGCCTGTGGCTACTGAGGTAGTTGACAAAGAAAGGAGCCTGTACCGGTGAGTGAGGGGCTGTGCTGGTCCCAGGCTGGCCTCCCCCACCCCACTGCCCATCCTGGGTCCCCACAGACAGTCAGTTCCCCCCAACCCATACTCGCCACTGGGTCCCCTCCTCTTGCCCAGACAACAGGCAGAGACAGGGCTGAAACACCGGGTGTGTGCTTTTCATGATGGAAAAAGTTGTTTTCTTATGAAACTTAAAATTGTCTAACATACACAAAAATAGAGAGTACAAGGAGCTTCCACGTACCTATTACCCAGCTTCAGCCACTGTTTTGCCAAATTCATTTCAGCTGTTCACTTTCCCCCTCTTTGTTATTGTTACAATATTTTAAATCCAAGATGTCAGGTGATTTTACCCTTAAATATTTCATTACACATCTCAAAAAACAAAAATAAAAACCCTTTCTTCCATAACATAACTACCATGCCAATATCACATCTCACAAAGCCGACAATAAATCTTTCATTTCATGTAATCCCCAATCCATATTCGAATTGTTCAAGTATCTAAAACGTGTTCTTAAAGTTGGTGTTTTGGTTTGGTTTGGTTTGGTTTGGTTTTGAGACAGAGTCTCGCTCTGTCGCCCAGGCTGGAGTGCAATGGCACAATCTTGGCTCACTACAACCTCCAGTTCCCAGGTTCAAGCGATTCTCCACCTCAGCCTCTCTAGTAGCTGGGACTATAGTCACACGCCACCACGTGTGAAAAATAAAAATTTTTGTATTTTTAGTAGAGACGGGGTTTCACGATATTGGACAGGCTGGTCTCGAACTCCTGACCTCAGACAATCCACCTTCCTTAGCCTCCCAAAGTGCTGGGATTACAGGTGTGAGCCACCGTACCTGGCCAGTTGGTGTGTTCTTATCAGGATCCAAACAAGGTCCACTCATTGTATTTTGTTTGTTATATTTCTTAAATCTCACCAACTCTCTTAATCTGTATGCTCCTGTTTTATTAACAGCTGCTAATGAGCTAAGGACTGTACTAGTAGCTGGGAACCCTAAGATGAATATGGCAGCCCTGCCCTCCCAGGGCTTACAGTTGCACTAGTAGTAATTGTCTGTAGTCATACTCATTATCTCTTATATAACATGTTACCAGTTACCAAACACTGCCACAGACATCATCTCAACCAGGAGACAGCGTCACTCCCAACTCACACCTACAGAAGCTGGGGCATCCCGGGACCCACTATTAACCCACATGAGGAGCCTTGGGAAAATCACTTCTGATCTCTATAAACATGTTGTTTCCAATTCTGAGGGTTTAGCATTAATATTAGCACATATGGCCAGGCACAGTGGCTCATGCCTATAATCCCAGCACTTTAAGAGACCGAGGCAGGAGGATCACTTGAGTCTAGGAGTTCAAGGCCAGCCTGGACAACATGGCAAAACCTTGTGTCTACAAAAATGACCAAAAAAATTAGCTGGGCATGGTGACTTGTGCCTGTAGTCCTAGCTACTCAGGGAGCTGAGGTGGGAGAGTCGCCTAAGCCAGGGATTTCCAGGCTGCAGGGAGCCAAGATCAGACCACTGTGCTCCAGCCTGGGCAACTGAGTGAGACCATATTTCCAAAGAGAGAGAGAGAGAGAGAGAGATAGACAGATAGATAGATGGAGATAGATAGAGATATAAATTAGATAGATAGATAGATATAGAGATAGATAGATAGATAGATATAGAGATAGAGATATAGAGATAGAGAGATAGAGATAGATGATAGATATAGAGATGATATAGATATAGACAGATAGAAATAGATAGATAAATAGATAAGGATAGATAGAAATTTTAGCACATATATTGTTATTAATTATTGGTAAATAGGCCCTTTACATATATGAACACTTGTTATTTCATCATCACCATCATTGCCATCATCAACATAGTAGAAACAGTTCACTGCTCCCAGGCGTGTACTAAGCTGTGAGCATGCATTGAGTCACTTATTCTCACAACTAGGAGATGGGAGCTACAATTTCTCTTACTGACAGATGAGGAAACCAAAAACAGGAAGGTTAAATGACTTGCTCAGGGATCCACAGTCAAGAGCAGATGAGCCAGGACTGAAATGCAAGTCCATCTGATTCTGAAGTCTGGGCTTGAAGCCCCTGTACCGTATCTGCAAGCCCCTGCATGGGGTCTGGCATCCAGCAGGTGCTCAGTGAGTTCGTGCAGTAAGTGTCTGCTTCTCCCTCTTCTTCCCAGAGTTCACTTCCCTGTAGCTGGCTCCTACCGCTGGCCCAACACAGGTCTCTGCTTTGTGGTGAGAGAAGCAGTGACCACTGAGATTGAATTCTGTGTGTGGGACCAGTTCCTGGGTGAGATCAACCCACAGCACAGCTGGATGATGGCAGGGCCTCTGTTGGACATCAAGGCTGAGCCCGGAGCCGTGGAAGCTGTGCACCTCCCTCACTTTGTGGCTCTCCAAGGTAAACAAGAGGGAAGGATAGGGAGGAAGGTGGTGGTAATTAGGGGCTGAAAGGGAGTATAGAATGATGATCTCCTGGGAGACGGTGTTGTGGCTTCCTTTGAGGGGCCGAGCGGGGGTTATGGAGATGGGGAGCAAGATTTTCCTGCATTCCACTCTTGTCTGGACATACCTTTTTGAAACACATCTGTGTGACTGTACAGGCCAAACACCCATGACGCTGGCCTTGTCCTTCGGGTCCTTCGTTCCCGCACCTACCCATCTCCTTCAGCACACACAGACCTCTGCTCTCCACACAACCCTCCCTCCAAGAGGAAGTGAGTTCCCTCAGTTTTGTCACCCTTGCTCCTCTCTGTGCTGCCCGTGGGAACACGAACACTTCACACAGCCACCTGAGTGGGGTCCCTCCCCATTCTCACCCCCTCCCCCTGCCCACCCACTCAGGAGTTCAACCAGATGAGATGGCTGGAAACCACAGTGATATCCCTCAGGCCTCAAAACTGTTGGCTTCCTGGAACCAACACTGACTGAATCGTATAACGATACAGAGTCCCAACACTCAGATTCAGCAAAATGGATATTCAAACACCTCAGTGGCCGGGTGCAGTGGCTCACACCTGGAATCCCGACACTTTGGGACGCAGAAGCAGGAGGATGGCTTGAGCCCAGGAGTCTGAGACCAGCCTGGGCAACATAGTAAGACCCCATCTCTAAAAAAAAAAACAAAAAATTTCAAGAATTAGCCAGGCATGGTGGTGTGCACCTGTAGTTCCAGCTACTCAGGAGGCTGGGGTGGGAGGAGCACTTGAGCCTGGAAGGTCAAGGCTACAGTGAGTCATGATCGTGCACTGCACTCCAGCCTGGGTGACAGAGCAAGACTCTGTCTAAAGAAAAAAGACTGCATCTCAAAAAAAAAAAAAAAAAAAAAGAAAGAAAGCCGGGCATGGTGGCTCACACCTGTAATCCCAGCACTTTGGGAGGCCAAGGCGGGCAGATCACAAGGTCAGGAGATCGAGACCATCCTATCTAACACGGTGAAACCCCGTCTCCACTAAAGATACAAAAAATTAGCTGGGCGTGATGGTGGGCGCCTGTAGTCCCAGCTACTCTGGAGGCTGAGGCAGGAGAATGGCGTGAACCCGGGAGGCGGAGCTTGCAGTGAGCCGAGATCGCGCCACTGCACTCCAGCCTGGGCGACAGAGCAAGACTCTGTCTCAAAAAAAAAAAAAAAAATTTAGTAGCATTTTCTTCCCAGACCCCAAGTTACCAAGAGGACTGGGCCAAGTTGTTTGAGGAAGAAACAGAAAGAACCACCACAGCCAGGTGGATAGATTGGTCAAGCTGCATTTTATCTGTAATACGAGCAAGTGGCCCTTATTATCCCAGGGCTTTATAGACACAAACCCAGTCAATCTGCACAGTGACACCGAGAGGGGGATGCTGTTATCAGCCCTACTTTACAGATGATGCACAGAGAGGGCAAATAATCTGCTCAGAGTCCCCCAGTCAGTAAGAGCCCTTGCTGGGAGTCAAAGCCAGGCAGTCCGTATCATTTAGCTGCTCTGCTAGACAACCCTCTAGTGTCCCACCTTCATGTGATGTGGGTCCCACTGTCCCTGCTTGAGCGGGAGAGCCACTGTGCCTCTCACCTGAGCCTGGACGGTGCTGACCACACACTTAGCAGGAATGGCATGGCTAGACATCAGGTCACAGGTCCAAGGGCAGCATCTAAAGGAGAGAGAGTCCCCAGGTTCCTGGACAGCAGAAGCAGCCATGTCCCATGGCAAACACTGGGCATGCGGCTGGGAAAGGAGGAAGGAGCTGATGGGCTGCCGTTGGCGGAGCACTTGTGATGCTTTGGTGCATTGTTTTATTTGCTGCCTGTATTCCCCATTGGGCCACAAGCTCTGGAATTGCTGTCCCCATGTCTTTCCTGTTCACAGCCACATCCACAGGGCCTGGCACATTGTCCGTACTCAATCAGGTTTTGTGTAATGAGCAGATGCAAAGCCCTGGACCCCAGACCCACAGAAACAAGCCTCCCTCATGATAGCGTTTTCTAGATTTTTCTAGTGCAACCAGCCAAAGGCAGCTCCAGGTAGGTCTTTCTGCCAGTGACACTTGCCCCAGTCAACACTCAACCTTCATCTCCTTCAGACCACAGTCTTCCCCATTGCTTCCCTTCTGTCTCCAATCTATCAGCACAAATATGCTGTCAGGTTTGGATGAGGTGACTACCACCATCTATGGAAAGGGCAATATGTACAAGAAGGGGGGTGACCAGCTCATCTTAACACTGACAGTCCTGCACCCCCAGGAGCCCTCTCGGTCCTGGGCAAGCATGGATAGTTGGTCACCCTAGCAAGAAGGTAAGTTGGAGACACCCAGCACCTTCTGGACTTCAGTGAAAATTCAAGTGGCACCGAGCCTCTGTTAGTGCCACAGGCTGTGGTCAGAGTCCATGGCCGGTTGTGTGACTCTGGAAAAAGCACTTTCCTCCCAGGATTTCAGTTCCCTCAGCTGACATGTGAGGACGTTCCAGTGCTTTGGAGGTCACAGTGAGACCATCCATTTAGTGCCAGTGATGGCAATGCAGACCAGCGTCACCTCTTGGAGAAGCAACTGCGGGGTGAAGGAGGTCCTGCCGTCTCACACGCTTTCCTCATCCCTTGGTACTGATTGATTTCAAGGCAATAACACAAGGGAAATAGCAGCTTCCTGCAGAATATGTGCATTGCAGTGCTATTTATCATAGTGAAAAGTTGGAAGCAAACTCAACACTGAAATGAGAAACAGAGGCTGAATCACAGGGTGGTGCGTCCACTAGCAGGGATCATAGGCTGTGGTAATTAAAAGGTCCAACGTCCTTGCAACAAGTTAAACTGCCACGGGAAACAAGAGACAAAGCGTCATGGACTATGATAAAAATAGGAAAAGGTGTTGCTGCAGAGAAAGACTGGGATGCAGGTGTCCCATGCTAAGAATAGTTATACTGTGGCCGGGCGCAGTGGCTCACGCCTGTAATCCCAGCACTTTGGGAGGCCGAGGCAGGCGGATCACCTAAGGTCAGGAGTTCAAGACCAGCCTGGCCAACATGGTGAAACCCCGTCTCTACTAAAAAGCCAGGCGCAGTGGTACATGCCTGTAGTCCCAGCTACTCGGGAGGCTGAGGCATGAGAATCACTTGAACCCAGGAGATGGAGGCTGTGGTGAGCCAAGATCACACCACTGTACTCCGGCCTGGGTGACAGAGCTAGACTCTCTCAAAAAAAAAAAAAAAAAAAAAGAACAGTTGTATTGTTTGATTGGTAAGATTCATAGGTGAATTCTTCCTCATTTTTTCAGATGATAGATACCACTGTGACTTTCTTTTCATCCCAAAAATGCAGTTAAATGAGAAAACTTAAGTAAGGGTCTTCATGGCCCCTTCTGGGATTGACATCTGACTAAGGGCCTTGTCCAGCTTACTGGATGCCTTGTTGCCCAGAAACCACTTGCATTGCAGCAGTTACCAGGCAATGCAGGGATGCAGCTGGGACTCCTGATCGCTAGGCCAGTATCTCTCCCATTACCAGTGTTCATCCCTCAAGCTCTCTTGTAACTTCAAGGTCCTGGCGCTGGTCAGAGGCTGCAATCAAAGATACCAATTCTGGCTGATTTAAGCAGAAAAGGGATACACTGAAAGGTTATTGACTAACTCATAGACTTAGCAACAAATCTAAGGCAGGGGGGAAGATAGTAACCCAATGACTCAGAGAAACCAAGGGCAGAGCCGAGGTCACATCAAGAAAATATGGAGACAGGCTGCAGACATGGCTACTGTAGGACCCTCCTGCCCAGGAGCCACTGAGCTCTTTTTCTTTCTTTTTTCCTTTTTTTTTTTTTTTCTTTTGAGACAGGGTCTCACTCTGTCACCCAGACTAGAATGCAGCAGCACAATCTTAGCTCACTGCAACCTTGAACTCCTGGGTTCAAGTGATCCACCCACCTCAGCCTCCTAAGTAGCTGGAATTATGAGTGTGTACCACACCTGCCTCCCACTGGACTCTTCACCCAACTGCTACTGCCAAAATTCTCTCTCTCTGCGTCTGTGTTTCGCCCCTCTAGACTTGAGGTCCCAGTTAGGGACAACCACTTAGTCAAGTATTGGTCACACACCTGTGTCCTTGCTGCCAGGGAGTAGCAGCATCCTGAGTGGGGGGCTCGGCTTGCCTCCTGCCAAGACTCACGCAGTGGGGAGGAGGAGGCTCTTCCTAAAAAGACAAGTTTGAATGGTGAGTGGCCAAACACCTTGGTCACTCCATTTTCCCACTGCCCCTTCCTCCTCCTTGTTCTCTACCTGCCCAGTCAAACCTGACAGCATCACTCTCATGGAGAATCTACACCAGCACAGGCAACTAAAGGTTCTATATCTTTCCCAGCTCCCGGGCCAGGGGCTGGGTTTGTGTATAAGTTTGGCTCCAGGGTGATCCTTGAGCTCCCACTTGGGCGTTCAGCACCCACCTAGTGGCACAATTTCCCACAGCCTCCGAAGGCCCCAGGCCTAGAAATGCCCTCTTCCCCCTGCTGGGTGTCTCAGCCTGTTCAGGCTGCTATAGCAAAATACCATAAACTAGGTAGCTTATAAATAACAGAAATTTGTTTCTCACAGTTCTGGAGCCTGGTAAGTCCAAGATCAAGGCGCCAGCAGATTTGGTGTGTTGGTGAGAGCCCTCTTCCTCATAGATGGAGCCTTCTAGCTGTGTCCTCACAGGGTGGAAGGGGCAAGCAGGCTCCCTTGAGTCTCTTATATAAGAGCACTAATCCCATTCATGAGAATTCCACGCCCATGACCTGATCACCTCCCATAAAAGCTTCACCTCTTAATACTGTCACCTTGGGGGTTAGAATTTCAACATATGAATTGTAGGGGGACACAGATATTCAAGACCATAGCACTGGGCTCCCCCAAGAAGGTACCTGAGCCTAAGCCCTGGGATCCTACCATACCAGCAAATCCTGACTCAGTAACAACACTAAATCTGCGCCCCTTAGGCTGGACGCAGTGGCTCACGCCTGTAATCCCAGCACTTTGGGAGGCCGAGGCGGGCGGATCACCTGAGGTCAGGAGTTCAAGACCAGCCTGGTCAACATAGTGAAACCCCGTCTCTACTAAAAATACAAAAATTAGCTGGGTGTGGTGGTGCCTGTAATCCCAGCTACTCGGGAGGCTGAGGCAGGAGAATCGCTTGAACCCACGAGGCAGAGGTTGCAGTGACCTGAGATTGCTCCATTGCACTGCAGCCTGGGCAACAAGAGGGAAACTCTGTCTCAACAAAATAAATAAAAATAAACCTGTGCCTCTTGAATCCATTCTTTGACAGGGGGCCATGTGGACACGTCCCTGTTCCAAGTGGCCCACTTTAAAGAGGAGGGGATGCTCCTGGAGAAGCCAGCCAGGGTGGAGCTGCATCACATAGTTCTGGAAAACCCCAGCTTCTCCCCCTTGGGAGTCCTCCTGAAAGTGATCCATAGTACCCTGCGCTTCTTTCCCGTCAACTCCCTGGTGTTGCTTTACCACCGCCTCCATCCTGAGGAAGTCACCTTCCACCTCTACCTGATCCCAAGTGACTGCTCCATTCGGAAGGTGACACTAAGAGCCAGAAAGGCTGGGCCACGGTGGGTTGACGGTAAACACAAAATGCAGCCAGAGAGCCCCCTAGAGGGCCTTCAGTTGGGACTAAGGATGGGGCTCTTGGACAGGAGAACCTTGAAGTGGGTGAACAATTCGTCCCTTCTCAGTCATGGACTCATCTGCCATCTTTGGACAGTTTCTTGCAGCCCCTGTCCAGGAATCAAAGGATTGGAGGCTCCCATGCCTAAAACTGTAGCCTTTCCCCATTCTGACTTCTCTAACAATAACCCTATTCCCATCCTGAAGATAACAAAGACCAAGTGAGGGCTGTCTGTGTAGCAGTGCATGCGGGGAGGGAGGCAGGGGTGATACAGTCCCACTCTGTCCACGCAAACACACAGATGCACCATCCCCCCTATTCAGACCACATTCCACGGGGCAGAAGCCTCCCTTAATCATTGTTCTCTATGTTCCGTAGGCCATAGATGATGAAGAAACGAAATTCCAGTTTGTGCGAATCCACAAGCCACCCCCGCTGACCCCACTTTATATGGGCTGTCGTTACACCGTGTCTGGGTCTGGTTCAGGGGTGCTGGAGATACTCCCCAAGGTGAGCAGCTCAGCGTCAGCCTCTTCACTGCGAACAGAAGTCCTACCTGGGAATGCCTGTGGGGCAGGTCTCAGGGCTTTCCCAGGGACGGGATAAATCGAGGTGGAACAGAAAGTGAGTGGGATTCAGGGAAAGTGGGAATGCTTCCAAGACTGGGAGCAAGAAAGTTCGGAGAAGGGAGGATCTCATGCAGGAGGATGAGAAGGATGATGGGGTTTGACTTGGGGACACTGGGAAGTGTTTGAGCTATAGGTCATCCATGTCCTCTAGTCCAGACCACCGGGAACAAACCTGTAGTCGAACACACTGGGTTTATTATTCATTGTAGTGGCAGAACACATATTATGGGGAACCATGGGGTGTCTCAGTAAAGGGTGTTAGAAAGAATCTGCTGTGGATTTGGGCCTTGGTTACATTTGAGAAAGATCTAAGGAAACAAAGATTTTCCTTAGATCGGGTGTTGGTTCAGGCCACACAGAGATTTGTGGAAGAACATTTCAGGCAGAAGGAATGTGTGCAGAGGCGTAGAGGTGGGAGCAAGCTTGACACCTCCAGATGACAAGAAAGAGGTCAGTATAGCAAGAGATGAGTCAGATTAGAGGCAGGGTCTTCCAGGCCTCATCTGCCCTATCGGCCCTGGTGTGCAGTTTGCACTTTGTTCTAAGTGCAATGGCAAGCTCTTGAGGGTCATAAACATGCTAATACGAGACCTGATTTGCAGCCAGGCGCAGTGGCTCACACCTGTAATCCCAGCACCTTGGGTACCGAGGTGGGCGGATCACTTGTGGTCAGGAGTTCAAGACCAGCCTGGCCAACATGGTGAAGAGCCGTGTCTCTATTAAAAATACAAAAATTAGCTGGGTGTGGTGGTGTATGCCTGTAATGCCAGCTACTCAGGGGGCTGAGGCAGGAGAATCGCTTGACCCAGGAGGCAGAGGTTGCAGTGAGCCGAGATTGCACCACTGTACTCCCAGCCTGGAAGTGACAGAGCAAGACTGTCTCAAAAAAAAAAAAAAAAAAAAAAAGACCTGACCTTGGACCCGGGGGGCGGGGGTCGGCGGGCCCCGAAACCCCCCCCCCACACCCCAACCCGGGGGAAAAAAAAAAAATTCTAAAAAAAAAAAAAAAAAAAAAAAAAAAAGACCTGATTTACTTTCATAAAGATGCCTCTGGCTGCTGGGTGAGAATGAATGATAAGCAGGCAAGAGTAAAAGCAGAGAGACAAGTCAAAAGGCCGTTATGGGCCAGGTACAGTGGCTCAGTGGCTCACACCTGTAATCCCAGCACTTTGGGAGGCTGAGACGGGTGGATCACGAAGTCAGGAGATCAAGACCATCCTGGCTAACACAGCAAAACCCCATCTACTAAAAATACATAAAAGTAGCGGGGCATGGTGACAGGCGCCTGTAATCCCAGCTACTCGGGTGGCTGAGGCAGGAGAATTGCTTGAACCCAGGAGGCAGAGGTTGCAGTAAGCCAACATCGCCCCACTGCACTCCAGCGTGGGCTACAAGAGTGAAACTCTGCCAAAAAAGAGAAAAAAAGGCCAGGCGTGGTGGCTCATGCCTGTAATCCCAGCACTATGGGAGGCTGAGGTGGGCAGATCACCTGAGATCAAGAGTTCCAGACCAGCCTAGCCAAGATGACAAAACCCAGTCTCTACTAAAAATATAAAAACTAGCCAGGCGTGGTGGTGGGCACATGTAAACCCTGCTACTTGGGAAGCTGAGGCAGGAGAATTGCTTGAACCCAGGAGGCGGAGGTTGCAGTGAGCTGAGATTGTGCCGCCGCACTCCAGCCTGGTCAATAGTGCAAGACCCTGTCTCAAAAAAAAAAAAAAAAAAAAAATGCTGTTGTGGTTGGGTATAGTGACTCACGCCTGTATTCCAACACTTTGAGAGGCCATGGTGGGAGAATCGCTTGAGGCCAAGAGCTCAAGATGAGCCTGGGCCATGTAGGGAGACCTCATCTCTATGAAAAATGAAAAAATAAGATGGGTATGGTGGCACACGCATGTAGTCCCAGCTACTCAGGGGGCTGAGGCATTTGAGCCCAGGAGTTCAAGTCCAGCTTGGGCAACATGGAAAAACCCCATCTCTCTTAAAAAAAAAAAAAGAAAGAAAGAAAAGAAAAGAGAAAAAAAGAGAAAACAAAAAAGAAAAATGCTGTTGCAATACTGCAAGCTACAGTTGAAGGTCACTTGACGAGGAAGGTAACAATGGAGATGGAGAAAAGTGTATGAATTCAGGGTTGATTTTGAAGGTAAAGCCAACAGGACCTGCTGGATGGCCTGTGTAGGGAAGGAGTAAGCACGATTCCGAGTTTGGAGCCTGCATGCTCAGTGGATGGTCCTATCCTTTACTGAGTTTGGGGGAACTAGAAAGGGAGCACGTTCGGAAGACAGTGGGGAATCAAGAGTTCTGTCTTAGCTGGGATTTAGGAAAGGGGATGGATATAAATTTTTGTCAATTGAAAGTGGGTGGAGTTTGGGATCCATTGGGAAGACAGGCTTTAAGGGGATGGATATAAATTTTTGTCAACTGGAAGTGGGTGGAATGTAGGATCCATTGGGAAGACAGGCTTTGGGCTGGAGAAATGAGGGTTTGAATTCAAGATGGGGGAGGTGAAGGAAGAAGGATCTGGTTTAGGATTATGAGCATTACGTTTAAGGACAAGCCCTGACTTACTCTTGAGGTGCTCAGTTGTGTCCTCATCCTTCTGTGGAAAATTGGGAAAAGAGCAGTTTCTGAAGGTGGTAGTTGATTTCAGTACAGGGATCATTGGAGTGTCCCTGTGGAGCCAAGCAGGGCCAAGAAGGTGTCAGGTGGGGAAAAACCTTCCATGCAAGATGAACAGGGTGGCGGCTCAACTCTTTGCCTCTTCAGGAACTGGAGCTCTGCTATCGAAGCCCTGGAGAAGCCCAGCTGTTCTCGGAGTTCTACGTTGGCCACTTGGGATCAGGGATCAGGCTGCAAATGAAAGACAAGAAAGATGAGACTCTGGTGTGGGAGGCCTTGGTGAAACCAGGTAAAACCAGGACAAGTCCAGAGAACTCAGAGGTGGGAGGAGAAAGCAAATCAACGAAGTAGCTGGGCACAGTGGCTCACACCTGTAATCCCAGAACTTTGGGAGGTTGGGGTGGGCAGATCACAAGGTCAGGAGTTCAAGATCAGCCTGGCCAATATGGTGAAACCCTGTCTCTATGAAAAATACAAAAATTAGCTGGACGTGGTAGCGTGTGCCTGTAGTCCCAGCTACTCAGGAGGCTGAGGCAGAAGAATCGCTTGAACCCAGGAGGTGGAGGTTGCAGTGAGCCGAGATCGCTCCACTGCACTCCAACCTGGACAAAAAGGGAGACTCCGTTCCAAAAAAAAAAAAGAAGAAAGTCAATGATAGAGAGTCTGTGTGGGGGGGATGGAGGGTGGGGGTGGGGGAGGGCGTGTGCAGTATCACAATTTACTGATGAGAAGAAATAGCCCACAGGAGGCAGGAGGTAGGTGGCTTTCTCAAGTTACATAACAGTTGTTATGACTAGAATTTAAACCTGAGTCAATCTGACCCTCTAAAATGTATGCTGTCTCCCATGTACAATGGTGTCTTCACAGTGCCCTTGAATTAACAGATGTCGACATCCACAAAGCTTTTCGCTAAGTTTCTCATGGTAGTTTGGATGTGAGGTGGAAGAATAAGACCTAGATAGTCATATGGTTGTATGGGTTAAGCCTATTTGGCAATTTCAGATACTCTCCCTGTATCACTCAGTGTTTTTGAGGTAGACAAGAGGAAATCAAATAATACATTTTCTGGAATAGAGAAAACGTATGGACTCTTAGTCTAGTACCAACACTCTAAGAACCCAAACCCTCCAAATGGTCCTTCTAGGACAACCATCCCTAGTCAGCTATCAAAAAATGGTGAGTCTACCTCCTGAGCTGCAACAAGCTGGCTTCACAGTGTCGTGGAAAGAGGATGGGCTTTACTGAGTCCTGGCTTGGGTGCAAACACAGATGGAAAACTAACCAGCCCCAGCTTCAGACCTGGATTCAAATCCCACTCCAGCACTTACTTGCTGAGTGACCTTGGGAAAATTACTTAATTCATTTGAGTCCCTCATCTGTAAAAAGAGGATCATAATGACTAATTTGTAGGAATGTTGGAAAGATTAAATAAAGCAATGTCTATACATTCCTCATGCAGTAATCCTTAACAAATCGTAGCAATATTATCTTTTTCCTCATGTTAAGCCAATCTCTGCCTCCTATCAGTCTTAATTCTGTCCCTTGGAACTCAGAAAAGTGTATGTCCTTCCCCATGAGAAAGCCATTTAGATTCTGGAAGACTGTGGTCATAGCCTTCCTGATGACTCTTGTTATACAAGTTACACATCTCAGCTTCTTCCATCGTTCCTCTGCTATTTTGGTTTGTAAATTCTTTGCCATCCAGTCACCTCCCTCAGCAGATGCTCCAGTGTGGGAATGAGTCAGAATTGACCCCTGGACTGTCCAGTCAGCAGAGAGGATGTGAAACACCCTCCTTTCTCCACCCACATGGATCCTGTGCTCCTGGTACCACAGCCTCAACTCCCTCCCCTGTGCCCACCTCCCTGAACTGTGAGATCACACTGAACTTGGAGCCTGCTCAGACTCTCAGGCCTTGTACATATGAGCTGCTGTGAACTTCCCCTTTCTCTCCTTTGCAAAGCAATTTTTAAGTCCCTTCATTTTTGTTGTTGTCTGTCTTTTCTGTTAAAATTCATTTGTTATTCCCATGTCCTAAGATTGCTTGATCTTGATTCTAGATTCTGACATCCAATTCCAGAACATACACCTTTGGTTGGTGCCAGTCTAGAAGGCTAAACAAGAACAAGGAAGTAGATTTCTGCTCAGAACAAGGAGGTGCTAAATAGTTCAAGCTGTCTAGCAAGGAGTTTGGTTAGTTCACCAGGGATACAGTTCAGGCCAACACGGGATTAAAACCAAGTCTGGGATGTTGTAGGAGAAATTGCTATTGCTCATTTGGATGCCTTCTCTCTATTACTGTATGATCACAGCTTCTGGGCCTCAGTTTTCCCATATGTATAAGGAAGGGATTCACCTAGATAACCTCTAAGGACCTTTCCAGCTCTTACTCCAGATTCTACCAGAATTTGTCTGTGACTTTTTTCTAAATCAAAGAATCTCAGAAGTGAGTGGGAGCCTGGAGGTGTACTGTGTGTGTTAATAACTTAGCACTGTTTCAGATCATCTTCATCTCTGTGTTCGTCCAGGAGATCTCGCACCTGCAACTACTCTGGTCCCTCCAGCCCCCATAGGTCAGTAACAACTCTCAGAGACCACAGGAGGCAGTGGCAGTTCTGGGGTACTGTCTGGTTCTTGGGGGAAGGGAAGAGAGAAAGGAAGGGACTCATCACTGCAGACCTCACAAGGGGTCAGACCCTGGAGAGCGGTGCATGGTTCCTCCCCATACCCTTTTGTCCTATCCACAGAGACCCTAGAGCTCCTTATCTGACAGCCTCCAATGCGTCCAGCAGGAACTCCACTCCCGATCCCCACTCTGGCAGATTGCCAGGCTAGATGCTGGCATGAGGGAGGGCAGAAGTGCATTTCTGGAGGCAGAAGGAAGCGAGGGATGCAGAGAGGAGAGAGGAAAGGGCTGAAGATGGGGATTGGAGATGGAGGCTGTGGTTGGAGCCCTTCTTTGTTCATTGCCAGCCTTACCTTCACCTCTGGATGCCCCGGGGTTGCTGCACTTTGTGGACCAGTATCGAGAGCAGCTGATAGCCCGAGTGACATCGGTGGAGGCTGTCTTGGACAAATTGCATGGACAGATGCTGAGCCAGGAGCAGTATGAGAGGGTGCTGGCTGAGGACACCAGGCCCAGCCAGATGCGGAAGCTGTTCAGCTTGAGCCAGTCCTGGGACCGGAGGTGCAAAGATCAACTCTACCAAGCCCTGAAGGAGACCCATCCTCACCTCATTATGGAACTCTGGGAGAAGGGCAGCCAAAAGGGACTCCTGCCACTCAGCAGCTGAAGTATGAACACCAGCCCTGAGTCCTGGCTCTGCCTGACCCTTCTTTGGGTCTCAGTTTCTTTCTCTGCAAACAAGTTGCCATCTGATTTGCCTTCCAGCACTAAAGTAATGGAACTCTGATGATGCCTTTGCTGGGCATTATGTGTCTATGCCAGGGATGCCACAGGGGGCCCCAGTCCAGGTGGCCTAACAGCATCTCAGGGAATGTCCATCTGGAGCTGGCAAGACCCCCGCAGACCTCATAGAGCCTCGTCTGGTGGCCACAGCAGCCAAGCCTAGAGCCCTCTGGAGCCAATCCAGATGCAAGGAGGAATAGGAGGCACACGGAACCGTCTGCCTCTGACCGTGTCACAGGGCGAGCCCCAAAACTGCAGTTCAGTGTGGGAGACCACGTGGATTCTTGGCTTTTTACAGGAAGATCTACAAGAGCAAGCCAACACAGTAAAGTGGAGGGAAGTTTATTCAGAAAATACAGGAGTATTACAGCTCTTTGAGAATTTGCCTAGCAGGCTTTCCATTTTTACCAGAAAACCCCTATAAATTAAATTTTTTTTACTTCTATTTTTAAATGTAAGAATTTAAAAATATATAAAAAAGAAAAAGTGAAAATAAAGGAATAAAAAGTTGCATACTCCATTTAGTTTTCAGCTGTTATTCTGTCCAGGCAGCCCAGAAGCAGCCTCCGGGGAATTCCTGCAAGGGACTACTTCAAACCATACCAACATGGGGCTGGCTGGGATTAAAAAAAAAAGCAGCACTAAATTCAGAGCAATCCGTCCAAAGCACTTAATAGGGACACTGACACAGAGAGTGGGGTGCAGTGTATCTCTGAGACTAACAGCAAGAGAAAAGGGATTCTACCTACATATTCCTGCAGCAAGAGGGTCAGGTATGCAGTTTGTGGGAGGGTTTAAGGAATCGCTCAGGGCAGCAACCAGTTTCCTTCAGTGTTTGTGACAGCAACCGAGATACCTTTTTCAGCGCCTCAGAATGTTCAAGGCCTCGGTTTGGGTTCCAGCTTGCTGGGAAGAACCTGCAGCTGGCTGGGTCACAGAGCAGTCAAGTCACTGTGATTTTCAGTCAGGTCACAGAAAGCAAGCATGGGTGAAGGGACGTGGGGGATCCAGTCTACCTTCTGGACAGATTGACTTTTTTGCTTATATCACATTGCAAACATGTTCAACAAACGTGGCTGACTGTGGGAATCTTCCTCTGGAGATGACACTGTTCCTGAACTTTTGTATCCCAGCTCTTGTAATGGAAGTGGAGTCTAGCAGGACACCCACACTTTGAGAAAAATGTAAACCTAAGATTCAGGTAACTGGGGCCGTTCTCTGGTCTCGGGTAGGATAAGCCTATGGAGGAAGCATAAACAAGGCTGGGAACGGTGGCTCAAGCCTGTAATCCCAACACTTTGGGAGGCCGAGGCGGGTGGATCACCTGAGGTCAGGAGATGGAGACCATCCTGGCTAACATGGTGAAACCCCGTCTCTACTAAAAATACAAAAAAATTAGCCTGGCGTGGTGGCGGACATCTGTAGTCCCAGCTACTCAGGAAGCTGAGGCAGGAGAATGGCGTGAACCCAGGAGGTGGAGCTTGCAGTGAGCCGAGATCATGCCACTGCACTCCAGCCTGGGCAACAGAGCGAGACGAGAGAGAGAGAGAGAGAGAGAGAGAGAGAGAGAGGAGAGAGAGAAAAGAAAGAAAGAGAAAGAAAAGAAAGAGAAAAAGAAAAGGAAAGAGAAGAGGGGGGAGGGAGGGAGGGAGGGAGGGAGGAAGGAAGGAAGGAAGGAAGGAAGGAAGGAAGGAAGGAAGGAAGGAAGGAGATCATGCCACTGCACTGCGCCTGGGCAACAGAGCGAGACGAGAGAGAGAGAGAGAGAGGAGAGAGAGAAAAGAAAGAAAGAGGTGCAAAGAAAGAGTGAAAAAAGAAAAGGAAAGAGAAGAGGGAGTGAGGATAGAGGAAGGAGCTGGAAGAAGCAAAGTAAAAGGAAGAAGAAAGGGCTAGCTAAAGCAGAAAGGAAGGACCACAGTTTTGCATCACACTCTGTTTCTTCCACTTCCAAAACAAGAAAGCTTATGGTCAATGAACTTGCTGATTTGAATAATTTCGCATTCACTGCCTAATGCCAGTGAAGTTCGGCAATGCGGTGGTGTAATAAATCGCACTTGAATTTACGGTCTCAACTCCTCAAGAGAAAATGCTCATTTGAGCTTAAGAGAACCCTTCTTCCTCTGCAGGCTAGCCAAGGCCCCCTTTACTTCCTCTCAGAAGCAGCACAAAGCGGAGCCTCTGCACTCAAACTACGGGTACTCCAGCTGCTCGCAGTAACTGAAGTGATCCATTAAAGCAAAGAGAGAAGAAAGAAATTAACCAGTGGAAGGAAGGAAGGAAGGAAGGAAGGAAGGAAGGAAGGAAGGAAGGACCCAGTTTACACCAAGACTCTGGTTTTCCACTTCCAAAAACAAGAAAGCTATGCATAATGAACTTGCTGATTTGAACGAATTTCAGATCAGCTGCCTGGGTCAGCAGTTTTCTGCTAAATGTGGCAGGTGTACAACTTGCATCTGAATTTGATGTCCTCAACTCTCTTAAGAGAGAAAAAAAAAATGCCCTATTTGTTTTAGACCTTCTTTCTTCTCCAGATAGCCAAGGCCCCTCATAGGAGTCCCTCAGAAGCATGGGGTGGGGGGGTTCTCTTAGGACTAAACTATTGGCTTCTATTGCCTTGCACTGCGCATCACATTGCACAGCATAGTGCAGTTAATCCATTCTCAAGATAAAACTCTGGATCTCTCTAGAGGAAGCTCTGGTCCTCTCCTCTGATCAGAAGGTTGCAGGTGGAGTCTGGTAGCTCAGGGCCTTCCCAAGGAACCGTCCTACAAGTGTTAGCTCCCAGCTGGAGGTGCAATAATTGTTATTGAGCAAGGGAGTCCCCACTTTCCATGCTCCCCAATCCTACTACCCACCTATCAAAGGGGCCACAGAGGGTGAGGTTACCCCCAAGGACTCCAGAATAACTCCTCCTGAAAGGCTAGTCCCACCTCAAACATCTTGTTCCAGGCAGACCAAAAAAACACACTGAGTGATCCAGGGACATGTCAACTAAAGAAAAAAAAAAAAATCAAGCTTTTAACTAATTAAAGCTAGTTTATTCAGAAGTCTTGCTGAAGACTATAAACTGAGGACTTAAAGCCCAGGAGTGGTTGTCAGTTGCTCCAAAGCAGTGTCTCAGCCCACTACTCACATGCAAGTGGTGGGGTTCAGTACCTGCAAAATCACATCAGAGTGACCAGGGTGTGGGTGGACAGTACATCAGTGATCACCAAAGTACATGTGGTTATTGACTGCGGAAGTGATGCGGAATTTTCTCTTGTCATTTTGCCCGCCAACCTCCTACTCCCCAAAGCCTCCCACCCCCACCTTCCCACCTAGGCCTTGCTGGGCCAGGATACCTGCCGCTGGTGGTATCTCACCCATTCAGCCTGCCCGGGCTGAGTCTGGCTTGCATACTGGCCCAGCCCACCTGTATTACAGCTTGTACCTGAGTTTGGCGGTTCCAGGACTCTTGTCTTGCATCCAAGAAGAATATGCTGACAGTTGAAGGGTGAGAATGGATGGAGAAGAACTTTATCGACTGATGAAACAGCTCTTGGCAGAGGAGGGATGCAGGGTGCGGTGGGGTGGTTTTTTCTTCTCTCAGTGTGGCTGGGTCCAGGGCTTTTTATGGACTCAGAATGGGGAGTGCCTGCTGATTGGTTTGTGAGTATGCAAACAAGGTTAAAGTGAAGACATCACTGAAAGGTGGGCACGACAGTGTAGAAAACCAATTAGGAAAGGTGAAGGGTAAAACAGGTGAAGGGTGGGGATCAATCAGAGGAAAGATTCTCAGTCTGGTCTGAGGATTTAACTTGTAGCTTCATTTTCAGGCTTAAAAACTGTCTTCTGCTTGGAGGCGGGGTTTCACCAGGGACCCACCCCTATCTGCCTAGGCATTTGACTGCCTCATGTCACTATCAGAAGCATAATCACTAACCCTGCCAGATGTTATTTTTATTTATTGAGACAAGGTCTTACTCTGTCACCCAGGATGGAGTGCAATAGGAGAATCACAGCTCACTGCAGCCTCAACCTCCTGGGCTCAGGTGATCTGCTTGCCTCAGACTCCTGAATGGCTGGTAATAGCATCAGGAGGCAGTAAAATGCCTAGGCAGATAGGGACAGGTCCCCAGTGAAACCCCACCTTTAAGCCAAAGACAGTTTAAAGCCTAGCAACAAGTCCCAGGTAAATCCTTGGACTGGAGTGAGAACCTCCCCTCCTGTTTGGGACACCTTCCTCTGACTGATCCTCACCCTTCACCTATTTTACATACACCTACCCTTCCTTAATTGGTTTTTTTACACTATCATGCCCACCTTTGAGTGGTGGTTTTGTTTTAGCCTTTATTGCTTACACACAAACCAATCAGAGTGCACTCCCCATTCTGAGCCCATAAAAGCCCTGGACCCAACCACATTAAGAAAGAGACCACCCAACTTCAGGTGGCGGACCACCCTCACATCATCTTCAGCTGAGAGCTGTTTTGTCACTCAATAAAATTCTTCTCTGCTGTCCTCACCCTTAGATTGTCACCATAACCTCATTCTTCTTGGAGGTGGGACAACAACCTGTAACCCACCAAACAGCAGGGGCAAAAGGAGCTATAAGCTGTAGCCCTCCAGTCCTCCACCAGCACCAGGCGGCCATCCCATGCAACGGGAAGTGGCGGTGGGGATGGGCCAGCCTGGGAGGTAGGGGCTGGAGTGGGACGATGGGAACAAACAAGCAGTGACCCTACCATTCACAGAAATTTCCAGCTGGCAAAGCAGGGTTGAGAAAAATCTTGCATCACTGGGACTACAGGTACATGCCACCACACCCAGTTAGTTCTTGCATTTTTAGTAGAGATGGGGTTTCACCATGTTGCCCAGGCTGGTCTGAGCCCAGCTCAGCCTCCCAAAGTGCTAGGATTACAGGCATGAGCCACTGAGCTTGGCCTAGATGTTATTTTATATGTAGAAAAAGAGAAGGTTAGGGACATTTATCTTTAATGGAATACAGGCAAGAGTCAGGCAAGAGTCAGGCAGGAGTCAAGCAAGAGTCTTGCCCCAACCACAAGGTTGGGGGCCCTGTGCTCTATCCTGTTTCATTATCAAAGCATCTTTCCGGAGAGCAGCAGACGTTACAGAGTCAGGGACTTTGTGAAATTATTCTGGCAAACAGAAATGAGCAAGCATGGCTTCTCATGTTTGCTACTTTGTCTCAGAGACATCTGCCCAAATGACAAAACACTTGAGTGCACAAAATAGGATGCAGCAACAGCCCCCAAATAAAGTTAAGAAGAATATCCCCGTGTAAACTGCACCTTATTCTGGTGATGGCAGCTGTCAGTCATTGATTCTTTTCTCTTGGGAAAACAGACAACAAAAGACAGAGAGGTACAGAAACAGAGACCTAAATGGACTAGAGAGTGTTTTCTCAGATCACCAGGTGACAAAGTAGTGAACGCCCCCAAACCCAAACCAGGTCTGTCGCCCAGGCTGGAGTGCAGTGGCCGGATCTCAGCTCACTGCAAGCTCCGCCTCCCGGGTTTACGCCATTCTCCTGCCTCAGCCTCCCGAGTAGCTGGGACTACAGGTGCCCACCACCTCGCCCAGCTAGTTTTTTGTATTTTTTTACTACAGACGGGGTTTCATCGCGTTAGCCAGGATGGTCTGGATCTCCTGACCTCCTGATCCGCCCGTCTCGGCCTCCCAAAGTGCTGGGATTACAGGCGTGAGCCACCGCGCCCGGTCCACCTCACCTATTTTCATTCCCACCCACCCATCCAACCCTCTTGACCCTCCTAGAGGCCTTGGTGAGCTGAAAGTTCGAGTTCAAGAACACATCAGAGGCTGGTCATAGTGGCTCACGCCTGTAATCCCAGCACTGTGGGAGGCCAAGGCGGGTGGATCACTTCAGGTCAGGAGTTCAAGACCAGCCTGGCCAACATGGCAAAACCCTGTCTCTACTGAAAATGCAAAACTCAGCCAAGTCTTGTGGCACGGGCCTGTAATCTCAGCTATTCGGGAGGCTGAGGCAGGAGAATCACTTGAACTCGGGAGGTGGAGGTTGCAATGAGCCGAGATTGAACCATTGCACTCCAGCCTGGGCAACAGAGAGAGACTCAGTCTCAAAAAAAAGAAAAAAGAAAAAAGGAAGGCATCAGATGGCCCTGGGGAGTGGCTCACGCCTGTAATCCCAGCACTTTGGGAAGCTAAGGCGGAGGATCGCCTCAGCCCAGGAGTTCAAGACCAGCCTGGGCAACATATGAAGACCCTATCTTTATGAGACGTTAAATTTTTTTATTTACAAAATAAAAAAAAAAAATTTAAACGGCATCAGGTGAAAAGGGAGAGGACAGCTAGGGGCCGGGTGGCCCCCGCGTCGCAAGATAGGTCCAGGCTGCCTGGGCCTCCCACGCCCTCTCACAGCAGCTCCAGCCGCGACCTCATGCGGCCCCGCAGGGCGCTTAGCCCCGGGTGGCGCCACCTGTGAAGCTTTCTCGCCGGTGACGCAGGAGGCCAACTCGCGACCTTCGCGAACTAAGCCCGGGATAGTTGGGGCAGAAGCCTTGGCCCGAGTGCGGGGGCGCAGGATGGGCTCGGCGGACTCGCGTGCGCGCAGCGTGCGGGGCACAAGGGGGCGCGCAGAAACGGAGAGACCCAGGGCACCGACGCGAGGAAAGGGTCTGCTACCCGCTAAGCCGCGCAAGCCCCGCGTGTCCCGCCCCCTTCTGCAGAGCTCCCCCTCCCTCATCTCAGCAGGTCCTCACGTTAGTTGCGGGAAGCCTAGGAAATGTATTCCTAAATCCGGAGCCGTCTCCATGGCAGCGAGCCCCGAAGTGGAGCAGGTCTTGGAGTAGGAGAAAGGCCAGACACAAACAAGTGCGTGGGGGTGGGGGAGACACAGATGCATGTCCGCTTTGGATCCAGATTTATTTATTTATTTATTTTTTTTGAGACGGAGTCTCGCTGTGTCACCCAGGCTGGAAGCCTGGAGTGCAGTGGTGCAATCTCGGCTCACTGCAACCTCCGCCTCCCAGGTTCAAGCGATTCTCCTGCCTCAGCCTCCCGAGTAGATGGGATTACAGGCACCCGCCACCACTCCCGGCTAAATTTTTGTATTTTTAGTAGAGACAGGGTTTCACCATGTTGGCCAGGCTGGTCTCGATCTCGTGGCCTCAAGTGATCTGCCCGCCTTGGCCTCCTAAGGTGCTGGGACTACAAGCATGAGCCACCGTGCCAGGCCTGGATCCGGATTCTAATAGCAACAGCTAGAATTCGAGAGACAGGCAGTGAGCTGGGAATCAAATTATTGACTCTACCACCCATTGAATGTGTGATCTTGAAACAGGTTTTCAGATGTGTAAGAAGGGAATAGTAAAGCTGGCGTCAAACGGTTGTTTGATTAGGTGTGCTCATGAGTGGGAAGTTGTTCTGGGCGAGCTGGTACACAACACTAGGCAGGCAGTAAATCTTAACTTCTTTGGGCCTGAGGCTGTTGTAGCTGCCAGTGATAACAGAAGCCACAGAGTATCCGCTTTCAAGCAATTTATAGTCTAGTGGCAAGGAGATACCAAATATGCACCCACATCTATAATCCCAGCTCTTTGGGAGGCAAAGATCTGAAGATTGATTAAGACCAGGAGTTCAAAACCAGCCTGGGCAACATAGCAAGACCCTGTCTCAAAAAAGAAAAGGAAAAAAAAAAAAGATTTTTCACACCTGTGATTCCAGCCCTTTGGAAGGTCGAGGCGGATGGATCACCTGAGGTTAAGAGTTCAAGACCAGCCTGGCCAACGTGGTGAAACTCCATCTCTACAAAAATACAAAAATTAGCCAGGCATGATGGCGGGTGCCTGTAATCCCAGCTACTCGGGAGGCTGAGGCAGGAGAATCACTTGTACACGAGAGGCAGAGGTTGCAATGAGCCGAGATCGTGCCATTGCCCTCCAGCCTGGGCAACAGAGCGAGGCTCCATCCCAAAAAAAAAAAAAAAAAATAAGAGTTTTTTTAATTAGCTGGGTGTTGTGGCACATGCCTCTATTCCCAGATACTCTGGAGGCTGAGGCAGGAGTATCTCTTGAGCCCAGGCTCCAGTGAGCCATAATCATGCCACTGCATTCCAGCCATGGTGACAGAGCAAGATCCTGTCTCTAAATAAAAATAATTGTCTGGGTGCTTGCCTATAATCCTAGCACTTTGGGAGACTGAGGCCAGTGAATTGCTGAAGTCCAGGAGTTTGAGACCAGCCTGGGCAACATAGTGAGACCCTGTCTCTGTTTAAAAAAAGAATAGAAGAAAGATCTTTTTGAATAGAGACACATGGCGACTTCCTGAGAATGGACATGATGGTCGAACAACACATGGAGATGATGGGAATGAGAAGTGCAGGGCAGCGGGGATCATTCTCAACAATGGTGAAAATTGGAGTCTTCCAGGATCATTGTGTTCAGACTAATCCATCCTACATGAGGTTTTCTTTCTCTTTAAAGTGGGCCACTTGGAACAGGGAGATGTCCACATGACCCCGTCAAAGAATGCATTCAAGAATCATGGATTTGGCTGGGTGAGGTGGCTCACACCTGTAATCTCAGCACTTTGGGAGGCTGAGGCAGATGGATCACCTAAAGTCAGGAGTTTGAGACCAGCCTGGTCAACATGGCAAAACCCTGTCTCTACTAAAAATACAAACAAAATTACCTGGGTGTGGTGGCTCATGCGGTGACCTGAGATTGCACCACTGTACTCCAGCGTAGGCAACAAGAGTGAGATTCCATCTCAAAAAAAAAAAAAAAGAATCATGGAATGCTTCCACCAGGCACTCGGATGGATGGTAGGAGCCCTGGGCTGAGTTCAATGCCTTTCCTGAAGGAATCACTCTCTGGAGGAGTAGGATTTGCCAGGTGCTAGAACCTGATGGAGGCCATGAGCAATACTTGTCTCAATGGTGGGATAACCAAGGATTTAAACTTTGAGCCATGCACACACGCTGGTCCAGGCCCAGTCCTGGAGCAAGAAGGAAGCAGGGGAAGCAGGGGAAGGAAAATGGTCCTCTGGAACCTGTGATCACCTGTGTTGTGTCAGGCTGTATGATTGCAGGACCCGTGAGTGAGTGCTACTCGCAGGTTAGCCCCAGGCAGGTAGGAATGAGAAGGAGGAGAACAGGAGGAGAAGAGGAATGGCCGGACAGGAGCATGACTGCTGGAGAGAACTTGAAGATAAGGCTGGCAGTAGTATGGACTTTGTGCTATTGGTCAGGAGTCCTGCGGTGTTCTTGGTTTCCTAGCAACTGCTGTTAAGCAGGTAGTTGCTAGGCAATGTGGGGCCATCCCGGCGGTTAGGTATCAGACCATCACGGAGTATTGTTAATCCTGAAAATGGCCACTGGGTCCATTACTTAGACTTTTTTCGTCTGTTAATTGCCTTCGTTGCACAGAAACTAATATAACCATGGTGTACAAGTTCTGGTCAAATGAGAAAGAAGTCACCCCATGATCTCATTATCCAAACAATACAAAAATTCTGTCTTTCCTCTTTCCATTCCAGTCTTTCTCTGCAGGAACACTTTTTCATCTTGTTATCATCCTAGCACATGGGGTTTTAAATCTTGGTTTTTTTTGACTTTGATTTGGATCATCACAAGCATCCTTCAAGCTACTTAAGAGTTTTCAGGATAATCTTCCCCTGATGACTGCATGACTCCTTGCAGTAGATATATCATTTAATTAACTATTCTCCTCTTGTTCTGACATTGAGTTTGCTTCCCATATTTTGCCACGATAATCAGTACACGTCTTTCTGCAGAGAGCTTATCTTTATCCTTTAGATCACTGTCTTGGAGTCAATACTAAGGGATAGGATGATTGTATCAAAGGAAGTCAATAGTCTCATGACTTTCTATATTTTGCAATAGCTTCCCTCATGCTGGATACAGTGGCTCAAGCCTGTAATTCTCACACTTTAAGAGGCCAAGAAGGAGGATCACTTGAGGCCAGGAGTTCAAGGCCAGTCTAGGCAACATAGCAAGACTCTGTCTCTACGAAACAAATTTATTTTATCTTTTATTTTTATTTTGAGATAGTGTCTTGCTCGGTCACCCAGGCTGGAGTGCAGTGGTGCAGTATCAGCTCACTGCAACCTCTGCCTCCTAGGTTCAAGTGATTCTCCTGCCTCAGCCTCCTGAGTAGCTGGGATTACAGGTGCACACCACCACACCCAGCTAATTTTTTTTTTTTTTTTTTTTTTTTTTTTTTGAGACGGAGTCTCACTCTGTCCCCCAGGCTGGAGTGCAATGGCACGATGTCAGCTCACCGCAACCTCTGCCTCCATGGTTCAAGCAATTCTCCTGCCTCAGCCTCCTGAGTAGCTAGGATTACAGGTGTGCGCCACCATGCCCGGCTAATTTTTGTATTTTTAGTAGAGATGGGGTTTCAATCTTTTCGGCCAGGCTGGTCTCGAACTCTTGACCTTGTGATCTGCTCACCTCAGCCTCCCAAAGTGCTGGGATTACAGATGTGAGCCACTGTGCCCGCCCACTGGCTAATTTTTTTCTTTTTCTTTTTTTTTTTTTTTTTTTTGAGACGGAGTCTCGCTTTGTCGCCTAGGCTGGGGTGCAGTGGTGCAATCTCAGCTCACTGCAACCTCTGCCTCCCAGGTTCAAGCAATTCTCCTGCCTCAGCCTCCTGAGTTTCCAGTAGCTAGGACTACAGGCATGTGCCACCATGCCTGGCTAATTTTTTGTATCTTTAATATAGATGGAGTTTCACCGTGTTAGCCAGGATGGTCTCGATCTCCTGACCTTGTGATCCACCAACCTCAGCCTCCCCGTGGGATTATAGGCGTGAGCCAACACGCCCAGCCAATTTGTGTATTTTTAGTAGAGACAGGGTTTCACCATGTTTCCCAGGCTCATCTGGAACTCCTGGACTCAAGCAATCTGCCCGCCTCGGCCTCCCAAAGTGTTGGGGTTACAAACGTGAGCCACCATGCCTGGCTGAATTTCTTGATTCTTTAATGGCTAGTTTTTGTTTTCTTTTGATTTTAGAAGGCCTTAATTTGAAGACCTTTAATTTAATTTAATTTATTTGAAGACAGTTTGAAGGAGAACAAAATGCCCTCACAGTTATTTTTTCCTTCCTTTAGTTGAATATATCTGTAATATAATTTATGATTATAACCATTTTTAAGTGTAAGCACATTCACCTCGACGTGCAACGATTACCACTGTCCATCTCCAGAACTTTCTCATCTTCCTTAATTGAAATTCTGTACCCATTAAATAATAATTCCCCATTCCTGCCTCCTTTCAGCCCCTGGGAACCACTATTCTGCTTTCTGTCTCTTTAAATTTGACTGCTCTAGAAATCTTATGTAAGTGGAATCATACAATCATTGTCTTTTTGTGCTTGCTTCTTTCACTTATCACAAAATGTTCAAAGTTCATCCGTGGTATTGCATGTGTCAGAATTTCCTTTTTATTTTTTTATTTTTTATTTATTTATTTATTTATTTATTTTGAGATGGAGTTTCACTCTTTTTGCCCAGTCTGGAGTGCAGTGGTGCAGTCTCAGCTCACTTCAACCTCCATCACGTGGGTTCAAGTCATTCTCCTGCCTCAGCCTCCCAAGTAGCTGGGATTACAGGTGTCCACTATCATGCCTAGCTAATTTTTTTTTTTTTTTTGTATTTTTAGTAGAAACGGGGTTTCACCATGTTGGCCAGGCTGGTCTCAAACTCCTGACCTCAGGTGATCTCTTGCCTCAGCTTTCCAAAGTGCTGGGATTACAAGCATGAGGCACTGCACCTGGCCAGAATTTCCTTCCTTTTAAGGTAGGAAAACATCCCATTGTGTGTCTATGCCACATTTTGGTTATCTATGCATCTGTTGATGGACACGTGTGTTGCGTCCACGTTTTGGCTATTGTG